AAGCATTGCTCATGCGGCAGTAATAGTTAGCAGGTTTAGGAGAGTGGAGTGGTGAACTCAAAGCAGTTACAGGCTGTGATTGATGGTGTGTGATGGGTACCAGGAACGACCTGCCCTGATCATTCAAAAGCTTGGAGAAGTAGTTTCCATGATGCCACTTCATCACTGATTTCAGTGTATGCAAAAGCATGTTGTGCAAAGATGGGTCTTCTACTCAAAAACCAGGCATTGTTACATTTTCCATGGTCTTTCCAACAGAGATGAGACAACACCATGACTATCCCCCCCTCCTCGTGTGTGTGTGTGTGTGTGTGTGTGTGTGTGTGTGCGCGTGCGCGTGCGCGCGCGGGCTGCATTCAATGCCCAGCATCTCTCAAGCTGGGCATTGAACCCAGTGCATGTGCACACACACACGTTGAACCCACGAACCCACGGCCTGTGCATGCTAAGCAAACACTCAACCACTGAGCTACATGCCCAGTCCTCTATCGATCTTTTAGGCCACTTGGTGTATCAGAAAGCCCCTCAAACTTTCAGACCCACGGACAGTGCATTACTCAGGGTCCTCCAGTACAACAGCTTCTCTAGCTTTGCTCTTTCTCATTACTCCTTCCCCAATTTCCCAGAAGGCCTCTTTCTAGTGAAAGCAGGATAGGATGAGAAAACAAAGTGCCTGAGTCAGCAATGAATCAAATAGAGCTATCAGAAAAGGAGGACACGGCATGCCCCTCAAGCTTTCCCCTGCGACTTAGGAGCTGCTCTAGATGGTGGTGTGTATTCCCTGTTATTACACAAATCCAGCAACTCTCTTGACACTGAGATTGGCCATGGCCTCTTCCTTTCCAATTCCCCACTGACCTTGTCTCTTCAATTTCACATGACATGTTTACTCATTTATTATTATTTGAGATAAGCTCTTACTATGTAGTTCAGGCTGACCTTGAACTTTAGATCCTCCTATCTTAACCTCCCAAGTGCTGGGCTTAGGCACCATCATACCCATTCCAGCTCTGCATGTTCTTGGATTCTATTTCTCAGATGGAGAAACCTTGAAGCATAAGACTAAGGCTAAATGCAGTCCCAACAGTGGGCTCTTGTCTGATGGGTCTACTCCATACAAGAGAGAGATCTGTCTCTTAGTGCCAAATCTATGTGAGGACACAGCAAGAAGACAGTTGTACACAGGCAGGAAGAGGCTTCATTGGACCTCCACTATGCCCCTGATCTTGGAACTCCTAGCTCTCAGAACTGCAAGAAAATAAATGTCTATGTTCAGGTTATGGTACTTTCTTATGGATGAAGCTAGAGTCCCGAGAGGAGTGGGTTTAAATATCAGATCTGGATATTGTAGCTCTAGTGGCTGAAATTTGTGAATGTTGATGCAATCTGAACACTATTCTATTTTTAAAATAATTTATTTTAACTTTATTTTATGTGCATTGGTGTGAAGGTGTCAGATTCTCAGGAACTGGGATTACAAACAGTTGTGAACTGCCATGTGGGTGAAGGGAATTGAACCATGGTCCTCTGGAAGAGCAGCTAGTGCTCTTAACCGCTGAGCCATCTCTCCAGCTCCCCTGAACACTATTCTTAGATAGCCAATCGAACATAGTTAGGGGTAATCTTGATTGTCAACTTGAGTGGATTTAGAGTGACTTAGGAGAAACACCCTACCTTAATGTAGGTGGCACTGGTCCACAGACTGGGCTCACACACTGAGTCAAAGGAGAACATGAGCTGAGCGTCAGCCTTCAACTCTTCTTGCTTCTTGACCCACTTCCTCAAATTCCTGTTACATGCCTTCTCTGCTATGGATTGATCTCCTCAGACTGTGAGTCAAAATAAACTCTTCCATGGTACTTCCTGTTAGATACTTGGTACTGGCAACACAAAAGTAACCAATAGAAGTAAGAGGCATATAGACTCCAGAGAACAACAGATGTTCAGACAGGCACTGCCTAGCCTGTATCTCACTTTGAAAAGATTTCAGTGGGCCCAGAAGCTTCTTAGTTACAGGAAAATCCCTTTCCTTTTTCAGGCCTCAGCTGATTGACAACCTGGTGCACCTCCTTAGATGGTCCCTGAAGTGTAGGTGGAGTTTCTCTGTGTCTTGGCAGCTGCTCCCAAATAACCATTCAGAGACTTATTATTAGGTAAAGATGCCCAGCAGATAGCTTAGGCTTGTCTCCAGCCATCTCTTACAACCTAAATTAACACATTTCTTTAATCTCTATGCTGCCCCAGGCTGTTTTACCTCATCGTTGAACTTTCCATGTTGCTTTTTCCTCTGGTTAGAGATTCCTCAAACTCAACCTTCTTCCCAGCATCCTCTCTGTGCCCCCCAAATCCTGCCTAGCTACCAGCCAATCAGCTTTTTATGAACAATGAGAGGAACACATTTTCACAGTGTACAGAAGGGTTATGGGTTATTCCACAGCACTGAAAAATCATTCCCTTTCTGGGTCTCTGTGGGCATGGCTCATAACTGTACCCAAACACCTGGTTTTTAGTTTGCTATGGTAACAGTCACACTCATACTTTCTTAATAATTTCCTAATGAGCCTTTACATGTGTTCAAGCATGAAGTGCTTTGAGGATGGGGACCAGGTCCTGTGTACTATCATCCCCAAATCCTATCCCCAGTCCATGTCCTGGCTGAGAGAATGAGCTCTAGTTTGCTAAGTGGAGGAGATCAGCAGAACAGGGATCCTCAGGGTCCCTGGCTACCCACTGCCGTGTGGGAGAGAGCCTGCTCTTCCTCACCAAACGTCTGATTTTACTGAATTCTGCAATGCTCTCCACACAGCAAAGGGTTCCAGCATTTCAGCAGCCACCTTCTCTCATTCTTCAGATAGACCTAGCTTTGATAAGGGTGGCCAGTAGGGCTCTGTGGGGATGTCAAGGAGTTCAAAGGCTCCTACTTGGAAAGGGTGTTTCTGGGGTCAATGGGTAAAGGTTTCAGCAGTATTTGAAACGTAGACTCTAAATTTTAGTCACATTATGGAGTTGAGGGGTGAATAAGTAACTGTTTTGAGTTGGTTGAAACACAGGGTAACAAGGCTGTCTGGCAGAGAGCCTTTATGAGGCCAGCATGACTTTAAAACAGGGTCAAAGAGGCTAATAGCTCCCTGTCTCAATCCAGGGCCAGCAAAGCTCAAAGTAGAGAGAGCAATGTTTCAAACAGAACCTGGCCACCTGGATCCCTTGTTTCTTCTGCAGGTCTTCACCTGCCATCTTGCTGACTGTGCAGGTCTCCTCCCATGATTCTTCATGCTTCAGCATCTACCAAAGAAATGATAAGGAAAAAAAGAAAAAAAGAGGGCTCATAATACGATCGTGCTGGGTTTGCAGAAGAGTGTGCCCATCAAAAGTCAGATGTGAGGAAGGAGGGGCTCAGGGAGCACTGCCCCAGGGTGCTGAACTTTTCCTAGTGATGGATTCAGGGAACTGGGAGTCATTCACTGCCTTTAGTTATATGCCCAATAGTTATCTCATTAGACTCCAGTGGACAGTCCCAATCTAATGGTCACAAGATGGTTAAACTAAACAGGTCACAAAACAAAAGCACAATCATGAATCTGGGAAAGGCACAGGTTGGGGTCTGGTATGGATGAGTCAAGGATTCACCCTAAAATATTGTCACCCAAGAGTTGAGCACAAATTTAGGGACCTGAATTGTCAATACGTACAAATTTTATTAAGGCCTTGGCGGTGCTCTGAAGGATAGGCTGCCAAGGCCTAATTTGTAGCCAGTTTTCTGTTCAGACATTTGGCCACATGGAGGCACCAAAGCACCAGCCTGGTTCCCTCCTGCCTGGGTCCACTGATGGGGAGGGATAGCTGGGTTCTCTAAGCTGCAGTGGCTCAGGCCAGAAAAGGGTGTCCCTGAGAAGACTCCTCACAGCTCTCCAATCCTTAGTAACCTCTGTGACTCTGGGGGCACCAAATGTAATTCAGTGCTAGGAGTTGAAGTCAGATTGATATCTCACATGTCACAACTGAGTCAGTCTCTTTGGGGGAGTGTTACCTCCATGGCCTTTGGATAATTTACTTGCAATACTCAGGGTCTGGAGAAGACCCATCCCTAAGGACACTTTCTGCCCTTAGGTTTTTTTTCCTGTTGAAATATAAATTTTGAGTTTTCTCCAGTTTTGTAGAGCTATAACTGTGTAAATTTAAGGAGTACAATGTGATATTGGGATATGTGTCTTCTGCGAAATGATCACCACAGTTGAGGTAATTATTGCATCTGGTGTGATTTCTATGTGGTGGGAACCATTTAGGAAGACTCAGCTAGCTTCCAGTGTACAACACAGGATTGTCAACTGGAGTCTCTAGGTTGTGCTTTTGAGCTTAAGATGACTCATTCATCCTGAGTAATGGAACTCTTTCACATTGGCTAATTCAGTGTGTGTGTGTGTGTGTGTGTGTGTGTGTGCACATGCCTATGTGAACATGTGCAGAGGCAAAAGGCCAACCTCAAGTGTTGTTCCTTAATCACTATGTTTTAAATTTCACTTAATTTTATGTGTATGTGTGTATATCTGTGCACCATGTATGTGCAGAAGCCTGAGGAAGTCAGAACGAGCATCAGGTCCTCTGGATCTGGAGTTATAGAAGGTTGTGAACTGCTAAGTGGGTGCTGGGAACTGAACCTGGGTTCTCTGAAGAGCGGTCAGTGCTCTTAACCTCTGAGACATCTCTCCAGCTCTTCTACCTTAGTTTTTGATACAGTGTCTCTCACGGATCCTGGAGCTCTCCTGGCCAGCGAGCCCCTGGAATCCTTCTGTCTCTACCCTTCCAGGGCTGGAATCATACGCGTGTGTTAATGTGGCCAGACTGACAAAGCTTTATTTTTTTATTAATTTTAGTTATGTGTATGCATAACTTACATGTGTGTGTCTGTGTATAGGTATGTGCATGTGAGCGCAGGCACAAGCAGAAGACGAAAGCATCGGATTCCCAGGAGCTGAAGTTACAGCTGGTTGTGTGTCGCTTCACAAGGGTGCTGGGACCCTAACTCATGTCCTCTGAAAGAGCAGCATGTTCCTTTAACTGCTAAGCCATCTCTCCAGCTTCCATTTCAGATTTCAGTTCTGCAGGAAATATGCCAGGGCTGAGCTTCTGTTTCCTAGCACCTTTGGTTTCTGACACCTGTTTGGCCTTTCCCGTGCCTGTGTGACCTCAGGTAAGCCACTTGCCATCTCAGTTTTTACCTTTGTCTGTGGTGTCAGGGTTCAGTCAGCCTGTCCAAGAGTATTTCTTAGGGAATAGGGGGGAAGTCTGCTCCAAGTTTGTGAGCTGAGAAAGGCGTTCCACTGGAGTCTGTTTTGGAGGATGGTGGTTGGAGATGGCATCAGCTATATACCAGAAACTTTGCTCCAGAGGTCAGGTTGAAGGGGTTGGAGAAAGGGGTGGGAAGGCGGTTGAATTTTGGTAGGAAAAAAATATGCAGAACAGAACAGAGCTCCAGACACACATTCCACTCATTCCTTGCAACAACCACAACAAGCCAACAATACAACAGTAAGTCTAGGTGGCTTTGTTTGGGCACCTCCAACCCTTCCCTTGCTGATGAGCATCTTTGGAACTTAGACCACCAGCTTTTGTTTAAAGTGCTTTCATACAGGCTGGAGTGATGTCTCAGTGGCTAAGCGCACTTGCAGAGGGCAGCTTCCAGCACCCATATAGTGGCTTAAACCTTCAGTAACTCGAGCCCCAGAGTTTGGGACACCCTCTTCGGGCTTCCAGGTGCACTGTAACGCACATAGTGCACAGACATACGTGTAGATAAAACATCCATGTACACAAAATAATAAAATCAAAGTTAAGGTGCTTTTAATCGGTTAATTAATTTTAGGTTTTTGCTATTTGCCCTTTAATTACTAGCCTCAATCTGTTCACGAGCACTACCCCAAACCTCCTGTTTGACCCCCTCCTCCCAGATCTGTGACATTGGGCACTCTTAGGTAGGAAAATGATGACAGGAAGCCCCAACCCTTTTGTGTGACTGCCTGTGACATTTCTCTGGCCACTTTAAAGTGCTTTTATAAGGCTGCTGTTTGAGCTTCTGACTGTCTTTCTGGGTCCCAGCCTCAGAGCAGTGGTGCAGAGAATCATGGGAACCTTTGACTGCAGACACACAGTCCTCGGTCATCCCCAGCTCCTGGAATGATTCTGTCAGTCTAGGATGGGGCAGGGTGTCGAACCTGCTTCCTTTTAAGCCATAGCCTGCCAGGTGGAAGGACACCCTGCCAATGGGAGGAAGGAACGAGTCCTTTTCCCTTGTGGGTGTCTTCTCTGCCCTCTGCTCCCCTTTGGCCGCTTCTTTTGATTTGAATTCATATCTTGGTATATTGTATACAATTCTGGAAAAAAGATATAAAAATAGCGATTCTCTGGAAGCAGTGTTTCCCCATCTTGTTTAGTCTGGGGTGGTGTGCTGGCTGTTTCAGGGCTGTGGTGGAATGCGGCTGGCAACATGTTCCCTAGCTCCCCACAGCCCTTCCTGTGCACACAATCTGTTTGCTCTTGCTGTCAGTCCTAAGCTTAGGGCTGGTAGGATGCCACCAAAGGCAGGGTTGGCCCAGGACACTCATTTCTTTGGTCCCGGTCAGCTCTGTAGACCGGAAGCTAAATCCTGCCTTTGTGTCATTCTAAGCAAGCGAGAAGTGAAGGACTCCTAGTGTGTGAAATGCAGTCTGAGGTTTGCACAGTCCAGAATGCACAGCGAAGGCTTCAGATGGTCCCTCATGCACGATCAGACCTGCTAGTCAACATCAGCCATGAAACACTTTCTAGGTGGCTCCTCCCACTTTCCTGTCATTGCTCCTGAGACTATTTGGTCCCTTATCATTGCTCATTCTCTTTATCCAAGTCCTTCTGTGATGGTCAATATTGTCAGCTTGACAGGATCTAGAGAAGTGGTTCTCAACCTCTCTAACACTGTGACCTTTTAATATAGTTCCTCATGTTGTGGTGGCCCTCAACTATAAAATTTTGTTTCTACTTGTTATAAAGTAATTCTGCTACTCTTCCGAATCACAGTGTAAATGTCTGAGTGGGTTGCGACCCACAGGTTGAGAACCGCTTATCTAGAGTCACCTGGAAGACAAACCTCTGCTCATATCTGTGAGAGAGTTTCTAGACGGGGTTAACTGAGGTGGGAAGGTCCACCCCAAATGTAGGCAGCACGATCCGGCAGACGATCCGGCTTGGCCGACTAGTATCCCTGACTGAATAAAAAGGAGAAAGCAAATTGAGCACCAGCGTCCATCTCTCTCTGCCCTCATGCCTTCCCCACCGTTAGGCCTTGAACCCTTGACCCAGGAACCAAACAAACCTTACTCATCATTGAGCTGCTTTTGCTGAGGTTTTGTCACAGCAATCAGAAAGGACCTAGTACATCTTCTTTCAGGCTGGGCCCTCCTCAGGGGAACACTGACCACTTTCCCCAGAGCTTGTGAATTTTTCTCTCCATACAGGCTCCAGAACCAGTCATAACAAGTTTATGGAAAAAGGAAAGGGCAGAGTAAGTAAAAACATGCATTTTGGCCTCAAAACAAACCCAGAAACAGATTCGTTTCCAAGCCACTTCAAGCTATGACGTGACAAGGCTCAGATGCATGGGCTGTGGGTTCTGCTTCAGTGGGGTTGTCCCCAGCCTTGAAGAAAGGGTCAGTGTCGGGAGTGCATGAAGTGGCGGGCATGTAACAGGAGAGAGGGGATGGTCCCTCAGACCAGGGCTGGAGGCTTAGTGTTCAGACAGGGCATCCCACTCTGAGCCAGCCAACAGAGGAGAGAAACTGGCCACCTGGGAGAACAGGGCAGACGGCCTCGGCACGCTCCGACTGTGAGCCGGCCTTCTCATGTCTACCGCTTCCCTCCTTTTCCTTGGCCTTCAGGCGCCTGCCGCCTCTCTCGAGGCGGTCTTCTGTGGCTTTTCATGTTAACTCTCCTGGCCTTTGTGGTTAGTTGTGCCCTTTTCTCATAGGCCCCGGGAGAGAAGGGCCAAGGCTCGGGGACACCCCAGGCCTGGCTTACTCGCTTCCTTCTGCGCAGAATTGCCCTTTCTTTGCACTTCCCTCCGCATCCTGTCCAGCCACAGCCGGGGGTCTGTGCTGAGCTTGGAGACCTTGTTTCCCTCCTGTTTTGTCTGCTCAAGTGCGTGGCCACTGGCTGTGCAGTGGGAAGTGGCAGCAGAAATGGCCTGGTGGCGCTTCAGAGAACTGTCTGCTTCTCTGACCTGTGAGACTTGGGGATAAAACTCATCGACTCCCTTCTCAGCACAGTGCTGACAACCCCATTAGGTTGAGCAGTAGCTCCCCCCCCCCCGAGACTGTGTTTTAGGAAGAAAGAGGTAGAAAGACCCTTTCATTCATTGACTCACAAATCCATCCTCTCAGCGTAGAATGGAGACCTATGTTATTCTAGGCTCTCTCTGTAGATTGACAGGTGGGCTAATACAAACAGCTGGCGCAAGCTAGAATGGGGCTCTCTGTGCTTGGTGCTCTGAGCTCCAGATCAGCCAGGCTGCAAAACCACAGGGAAAAGCACAGGGCCGGAGCCTTGACCCTTGGCCAGCAGAGGCTGCAGCTGTTACTGATTACCATGCCTGCCTCAGTCCTGGAGGGCTGGCTGCCCTTTCTCCAAAGAGGAAACGCTGATGCCTCCCGCAAATTATAGAGAAAAAGAACAAGCTTGTGGTTTCATAGACCCAGCCAAAGCTCTGCCTCCAAGGCCTGGTATCCTTATAAGCTGGCTCCGTACACTGCTTGTCCAAAGGCCTGGACAGGGAGAGCAGTACCAAAGGCTCGAGCATGTGGCTTTCCTACCTCCTATCCTTATTGAACATGAGCTGGGTCAATGTAAAACTTGCCTCTTCACCAGAACCTTTCAGGACAGGGAGATCCTGGGCAACATTATTTAACTCTCTGAGCTTCTGTTTACCCACTGAGAACTTGAGGGTAGTTGTACTGTGTGTCTCCAAAGTTCTTGTGTGTGTGTGTGTGTGTGTGTGTGTGTGTGTGAATGCACGCACATGTGGGTGTGGAAGCCAGAGGTCAGTCCTGGGTCTATTAAGAGTTGTCCACCTTTTTTGTTTGTTTTTTTTCTGAGATATCTTTCACACTGAAACTTGGGGTTTGGGGATCAGACTAGGTTGGCTGGCCAGCAAGGATACTCTGTCTCTACCTCTTCAGGACTGGGATTGTACATTCTACACTACCGCTCCTGGCTTTTTTTTTTTTAAGATTTATTTATTTATTATGCATACAGTATTCTGCATGCATGTATGTCTGCAGACCAGAAGAGGGCACCAGATCTTGTTACAGATGGTTGTGAGTCACCATGTGGTTGCTGGGAATTGAACTCAGGACCTTCGGAAGAGCAGTCAGTGCTCTTAACCTCTGAGCCATCTCTCTAGCCCCTGCTCCTGGCTTTTTATGTGGGTTCTGAGGATCCAACTGAGGTCCTCATGGTTGTGTGGCAAGCATTTTGCTGACTGAGCTATGTTTCCAACCCAAACCTCCAAAATTCTTTCAAAGATATTATTTATTTAGCAGAAAGACAATCAGCATCTTAACTAATTTTAGCAGAGATCTGTGATGTGCAAAATGTGGTTCTAAGTCTTTCACATGGATTAGCACGTTAAATTCTAAGAGCATCTCTATGGGGTAGATATTTTTGTGACCCTTCCTACCACAAGGACACGTGCTCAACTGTGATCACTGCAGTTTTATTCATAATAGCTGTAACCTGGAAACAACCCAGATGTCCTGCAACTGAAGAAGTCAAGAAATGCACTTACTGGGTACGTACTGGTCAAATTGAACACGTGGGATTCCCACCAGGGCATTAGATACCAGAATCCATACTTCAGTCATGGACCCATTCCATCTCCCAGTGAGGGAGGCAATCAGCCAAGGCCACTGCCTCTTTTTGGAGCTTACTGGCTTCATCTTTAAAGGAGAACACTGAGTCCTGTCCTGATGTTGCCTACTGCCCTGAGCTGACGGAACAATGTAGAGAGTGACAGTTGAAGAACAATCACATCTGAGCTGTCTGGGAACAGGGTGAGGACCTTGCTCTTACGTGACCTCAAGGCACATTTTTTTTTATTTTTAAATACACTATTTTGATTTATTTCTTGAGAATTTCTATAGCTAACAATGTATTTTGATCATATTC